CTTTCATGCACATTTCCTAATCAGTTGTTGGATTTCCACATTAGGCGTTTCCTGCCTAAGGTAGCTAATAGCAACGACGTGAAGAGAAACATAAACAATATCATTAATATTTTTTATAAAAATCAGATAAACGAAAATTATCAACAGGATGAAAGCCGAACTAAGAACATTATAAAAAAATGCATAACACCAGTTGACAATAGCAAAAAATTAGACTAATTATTTATTACAAAAAATTTAATACCTCTAACCTTATAGTTAAAAATAATAATTCACCTCCTAGAACAAAATTAAATAGGGCAAATATTATTTATATATTTAAATGCCCATTAAGGAATTGTATTCCTGATCAAATAATTATATAGGCCACACTACAACATGTTTGGCACGCAGACTCACTCTACACCTTTCTGACAATAGCTCAGTTAGGACTCATTTAAATATTCATGGAGACCTACCGGACACTATGCGTAACATACATATGCAAAATGGCTAAAAATAATGGAAGCCTTATTAATAAAAACAAACAAACCAACACTTAATAATATTAACTTTGAACATGGACACAACATCTTGATGTGTTTTGAAAAATAAAAAAAAAAATTTTTTGCAAAACATACATACAACAAACTATTTCTTATTTAACAGTAAAATATTTCATCCTCGAAAATGGCTAAATGTACAGCCGAAAGCGCTCGGATAAAAAGAACATTCGGACAGTTTTTATATAATTCATCATCCGGAAAGAAAAACATTATTAGATCACATGAGAAATTGTATAAAGAACTAAATAAAAGCACTTTGTCTGTTTTATTCAATGAAATGTGCATATATATATATATATATATATATATATATATATATATATATATATATATATATATATATATATCATAGACCAATTGTAGATTTGGAAAGTACGTGTAAAACATTTGGGCAGGAAGATACTGTTACATTCAAACCTTTGTGGAAAGTAAAATCAGTATTAGAAAATTCTGTTTTTAACTGAGAACCAACGCTGAATTAAGACGTTATCGCTTTCACCCCATATAACTGCATATATCATTCAATTGCAGCATTAGAAACAATGTAATTTTATAGCAAGGCAGGTACAGACATTATGTGATAAGCAAATCGAGTCAGGCCAAAAGAAGTGAACAGACAGAAGTATTGTTCATTTTATATTACTTATCATTCGCTAAGTTACCGGCTCATTCGAGATAAAGGAAATAAAATTGTAGTAACCATTTTTCTTTATACATGAGCGTTTATGCTGAGTCTGAAATGTGCTATGATGGAAGCTTATCTTTTGTTACGTTTTTAATGGATTTAATTAATGGGAAAAAAGGCCAATAGGTCAGTACTCTCTAGTACTAAGCCGCCTGTATCAAAGTCGGATATTGCTTAATTAGAAATTGTTGGAGAAAAAGTCTTAAACGATTCCACGGCTAATCTTACTAGCATGGCTCAAATCTCTTGTTATTTTGCAAAATATGCGTGAAAGCAGTTCATATGTTCCCATCTGTGATGTTTTATTTCATAAATTTGATCAAATGGCATGGATTTTTTTTAACTTTTTCTCTCGTTACAATTTACATTTTCTATAAACGAATAGTGAGGAGGCATCACTATACATGATTCGTTTGTTTAGATTATCTGTTTAACGGCATATCAACTCCTCATGGGTCATTTTTTAGCCGAAATTTAATTTACTTAGATGTTTGAAGCAATAAAAATATGTTATTCTGATTTCACAATTGTATACAAGGCAGATGATACTCAGCTTTTGTGCATAGACATGTTTGTGTGGACATGATTAGTAGAGGCGGTGACATGTGTTTTTATGGTATAGCTTTCTTGAAGTTATATTTTGGTATACAGTTTCATTTCTTTAAGAAATTGTAGGATATTATATGGATTAATGTCATGAAAGAGTTCTTACATATTGGTTGGTTGACTGATTGATTTTGTTTAGTGGCATATCAACCGCTAAGCGTTTTTAATGCTGAGATCTATATAATGTAAAACCAATTTTATTCCTTAACCTACATATAAAATATGTCTATATTTCTGAGATGAGGTATTATGTACACTATATATATTATTCGGACTATTGTCCTCATCTTTGTCGCCATATTTATTACAACGTTTCGGCCGTTGTACGCTCCAGCCTTCTTCAGGTGGTTGGAATGTCGAACTAAACCCTTTATTTCGCTAACTGATAACAGCAAAAATTGGATGATGAGTGCTTAAAAAATGGTTGCTGAAGACATTAGGTTTATAATACCCAGAAATTCACAGATGTCCTCAAGGATATATGGCACAGTGGATAAATGTGTTAGTTAGATAACTGGAGGTAACTGACAACTGACATCCATTAAACATGGCACGTGGAACTAGAACAGTCTATCCCAGGGAGCAAAATAAAGGGTTTAGTTAGACATTCCAACCACCTGAAGAAGGTCGGAGCGTAAAATGGCCGAAACGTTGTAATAAATATGGCGACAATGATGAGGACAATAGTCCGAAAAATGTAAATAGTGTCCCTATAAAATGTATTGCTGGTTATTTTTTTTTTAAAAATGTATAGCTGGTATTTTTACTATAAAAATGAATTTTTTGTTACAGTTTTTTGGATACATGTTTGTACTAGTGAGCCAACCAAAATGGGCTGACTCATTTTATAGTCCACCAAGAGAAGGGTTAACAATATCAGAAAGCTCAAAATATTCAATCCGACGTGTATAATAGCAGCCATTTTGTTTTTTCTCCCAAAATATCTTCACTGCCAACCTGATATCGAAGACTTAAAGAATAACTTAACAGATGCTACTTTCTCCGAATATTCACTGCCAACCTCTGATATTGAACACATTACGGACCAGTGGATTCTATATTCAGAGACTACCTCAAACATGGTCAACATTTTTATCCTTTCATATGGTATTATTTTTATTTGGGGTTCACTATTTACCCATAACTAGTACTCTAGCATGTGCTACCACCCTGGGTATAGGTGGAGCTGTGAACAACATCAAGTAAGAGGTGGTTCCACGCTCCTCAAAACCTCCAATCTCCCAATCAGAGGCGTTGCTGACGGATGTGGTTTATCACCATACACACGACTATCACTTTTACATGTAACCTGATCTATGTCTACGATCTCTTTATTTTATTTCTGTTTACGAAAGCTGAGGTACAGATATAACTGTATATATAGATACGAATATACATATTATTTCAGGTATATTTTAAATTTCGCATAAGGACGTGGCTCACCTAACCCACACGCACGAGTGTAATATTATTATAGATAATAATCCGTTAGTATATAATCCAAGCGAATACTTATAATATAAAATATTAAAATTAATCCACAAAAAGAGCTCAATGTATTTATTATAACGGAGCATATAAGTCACATAATAGAGAAACCAAAAATTACCTCATAAGAATAGCTATTTGAACCAGATGGTACTACCTTTAATTTTTAGGCTCCTGACTTAGTCGAAAAATGCCAACGTAGTAACGTCTGGTTGAAATAGCTATTCTTATAAAGTAAATGTTGGATTTCTCTATTATGGTACACACACACACACACACACACACACACACACACACACAAAATGCCATATATATATATATAACGTCTGGGATTGAAATAGCTATTCTTAACCCAAAAATACTACTGCTAAAGACTTGGAATTTCTAAATATAACTTATTCACAAACACAACACAAATATGTTATAAAAATCACATAAAATATACCATTTTTTACAACACTTGGTGTCTTATCAAGATGGTGTTGAATGTAGGTTCTAAATAAAAATAAATTACACAGACACGTACCACAGAACACATATATATATATATATATATATATATATATATATATATATATATATATATATATATATATATATATCAGTAAATGCGAATGGATCCCTTTTTCAACTTTACTCCTAGACTTTTACCATTTTGGAATCAGGCCGATTGTTACGATTGTTCCCAGAACCATTTTTGGATCCCCGACGTTATTGATTTTTTTTACGTGATTTTTTGCGCTGGAATTCATTTTTTTGTACGATAACAATTTTTATAGCTTGGAAATACATTTGGAAATAATTGAAATTAATTGCAAAATTCAGCGATGAAATAAAAATAATTGCTTGTACGGAATGTAAGTACCTACTTACATCAAATTGTCTTTAAATTAAGGTGGCGTCAGAAGAATTATCGTTTAACTTTTAACAGGTAAGCTTAAATATTAATGCAATACTCAAATGCAGCGATCAGTTTTGAGTTTATTGTTGCCAATCGTATATGGCCGCTGTATGTCTCGTAAAAAGAAATATCCAACGGAGGACTAAGTAGATATTGAAATCAACCACACATCAGAACAGAATCTTCAGGCTATGTGCGTTGTTTTTTTGCTCGACTATTTTCATATGCTGGTCAGTAGTGCATTATGAGTAGGTATATTGTATTATCCTAACAGCAGGCGGTAACGATTATTTTACGAATTATTTTAGGGATATTGAGTGGAAATAATTGTGGATCCAAATGCAGATTTGTGGCTATTTTACAGCATTGTTTGTTAAAATTTTATTAGAATATATAATATATATATATATATATATATATATATATATATATATATATATATTTTCCCTAAAGAGTATTGTCCACCAATCATTTAGTTCTGAAATCTAACTCGAATAAAATTCACTAGTACCAGAGGCAATAAACGCTATCATTTTCCCACTATGCTTACTATGTGAATGGTTAGCTAGATCTAGTACTTGTTGACCTGTCATATACTACATCTTGACTTGAGGAAGCGACTTATTATATGCAACATTCCATTATGAAGCAGAAGAGACTGACACATCCAGTCGCACCAGTTGTTCTCTTTTGTACTGAAGTTGTGGATCGTGACATCAGGCAAACAACGCCCCCACTACAAATTTCTCCATCATAAAAGCCAGCGTCTCGCACCTCAGAATGCCGACTCATCAGTAAAGAGAAGAGGATTTGAAACGTTTAGCCGGGGAAGGTAAATAGGTAAGTAACAATTGAAAGAAAGAAAGAAAGAAAGAAAGAAAAAAAGAAAAAAAAAAAAGAAAAAAAAACAAAAAGAAAGGAAGAAAGAAATCAAGATAAAAAAAAAGAAAGACTGAAGAAAGGAACAAAAGAAAGAAAGAAAGAAAGAAAGAAAAAGGAAAAAAAGAAACAAAAAAAGACTGGGATGAAAGAAAAACGAAAAGGAAAAAAGCATGAAGAAAAAAAGACTGACTGGAACAAAGAAAGGAACGAAAGGCAGGGATGAAAAAATAAAAGAAAGAAAGAAAGAAAGAAAGAAAGAAAGAAAGAAAAAAGAAACAAAAAAAAGAAAAGAAACAAAAAAAAAAAGAAAGAAAAAAGAAAGAAAACGAAAGAAACGAAAGGCAGGGATGAAGAAATAAAAGAAAGAAAGAAAGAAGACTAGAACGAAGATAGAAATAAAATGCTGGAATAGAGTAAAAAAAATATACTGGAACGAACAAACGAAGAAAGGAACGAAATTCTGGAACGAAGAAAACGAAAAAAAAAGAAAGAAAGAAAGAAAGAAATGATTAAATTTTTTTTTTTAAATAAATGAAAAGAATAAAATAATTCCTTGTCAGGTACACAGTTAGCCCTCAATGATATTTTCAGGAGTGACATGGAAGGAAACAAAATCTAATGAAAAAATAATACACTATGAAGATTTTAATGCGCTACACATAGCAATAATTTTAAATACTTACACACGCAGAGAAACATATTATTACGAAAAGATTTATATAAAAATAAATAACGTCATTTTCAACTCTGAATTTTGTTTACGTTTCACAATTCATTTCAGCAGTTCATTTTACTTCATAATCCATCTTCCTCTGTTACCATTTTACGTTAAAGGGGACCCAGTAACTTGTTATCTATATTTAACTATACTCCATTACGTAACAAACTCATAACAACAGGTGGAAATTAACATTAGACTCAGAGAAGAAAGGCACAAACACAAATAGAAAATGTCATTTAAGTAACTGATAAAATGTTCGGAAAATTCAACTGGATACAGAAATTAAATCTTATCTTAAATATTTTCCTCGAATAAATTGGCACCAAGCAACTGACGAGATTATTATATGCCCGCAACAGAAGTGTCACGTGGGTGAAAAAGCTTTCTTGGATAATTGTAATTCGAGGGCCAAGTCAAGTCTAGCGATTACGTTAAGTTAACTTATGGTAAAGTTTTAGTGCCAAAAAAAAAAAAATATACTGGTTTGGGATTAAACTGTAAGCATTTCTTTACGATGTTTCTGAGACGGAAATCATATTCTGTACGTTGGTTACTTTATACACTGGACTATATTTTCTTATGTTTACGATCAATTTCTTACGCAAAGACAAAAGGTCGCTCTATACCCTGTTTATTTTCTGAAGAGATTAAAAATCATGCACTTTCAGCAACCGATTGTACTATACGCATATATGATTTTATTTTTTGCAAAAATTTCAGGTTTTGTACTATAAAGGAAGACGCCTTATACACGAGTATAAACGGTACATGAGATTAAAATTTAGTTCATATATTCCCAAGCATAGTGTGAAATAATCTACTTAATTTCATCATTTAAAATTGGATTAATTTATCCATCTTCTTTATTACTTTTACAACATTGTAAATCATTCTTTTCTCCATCCGTGTAACTTCCATTGAATTTGTAATTGAAGCCTTTATTTATATATACGTATATGCCCCCGTTCCGCTATGTATAGACATATCGTGTGCGTGTGTTTTTTTTATCCTGTTTAGTATTAGTTAATGATAATGTCTCATAAAGAGTTATTCCTGAATTTGAAGGAACACTCATTGTGTGTTCAATATCTGGACCAATGTAGTACAAATCTCACTAAAAACATGGTTATCACATTTAATAGTCTTTGTTCCAGTGATTGCAAATCAAATAGAATTAAAATCACATTATTTTCCCTCCAATATTCTTCTCATCAAAATACTCAGTGACGAATCACTTTCTGAAAACAAAATAATGGTATTTTGATCAGATTTGTGTCAATCTCTGCTCGTTGTCTTTTGAATTAGATAGGTTAAACTGAACTATGTGAATTTGAAAATGGTTGCCAACGGGAGAATGTATATCAATACAAAAATGTTTGGTTATTTTTGTTTAGCGACAAATGAATCTGTCTGGTTTACTTAATGCAGAAATCTAAACATGAAAACTAAAACTTTATAATTAATTAAAACAAATGACATTATTTTTTTTTATCAAATTATAATTATAACTCTATTTTTACGGTTTTACTAATAATCTTACAAAATCAAACATTGAATGAAAAATGTTTCACCTTACAAAAAATGAGGTTATAGCAAACAGTTTTGTTTTGTTTGACAATGACTGCTATATCTTTAGTTTAGCTATAAAATATGTTGCTGGTAATTTTATTATAAAAATGTATTGTTGGTAATTGTACTATAAAATATATTGTTGCTCATTTTGCTATAAAATGTATTATTGCTAATTTTATAAAAATAAATTGTGTTACTCTTAATTACACTACAACATTGTATAGAAAATTCTTATATAATAATGTATTGCTGGTATTTTTTACAATAAAATATATATTTTACTTTCCTAGTATTCGAATTTTAGTTTGGGGTTGCACTATTTTCCCGTAACTGGCCCCCTCTAACTGGGGCTATCATCCCCGAGTCATGATGGACCTTGGAACAACAGCAAGTAAGAGGTGGTTCCACGCTTCTCAAAACTTCCAATCTCCCGCTGCCGGATGTAGTTTGTCGTCATAACCAGGCCCAAAGAAAAAATGTATTAAATTAAGATTCAAAAGACGAATTGATGGATTTTGAAAAAATCTGACATTATGTTTTTTATTACTACAAATTTTCTTTTAGCGTGTTCACGTGTTTTTAGTAGATATCTCTGTTTTTTTTTATAAACAGTGAAACTTGATCTTAATTTCACTGTCTATAAAAAAAGGTCTATCTAGTCGAACACCTTGTGTACTCGTAAGATAATGTTTATAGCATAGGAAAATATGTTAGTTTACTGCTAAATATATCGCTTACTGGCGTAAGTACTATCAATAGACATTATTTACATTACTCGGACTATTGTCCTCATAAATGTCGCCATTGTACATTGTACGCTCCGGCCTTCTTCAGGTGGTTGGAATGTCGAAATGAACCCTTTATTTTGATCACCGGGGTAGACTGTTCCAGTTCTACGTGCCATGTTTGATGGATGTCAGCTATCAATTATCTCCTGTTAATTTTCCCTCTGAAAGTTCTCCACTGCCTTAACCGGGTATTGAACTCACACTCTTTGGGTCTGTGTCATGTGTCCTTGAGGACATCTGGGTATGAATTTCTGGGTATTATAAACCTAATGTCTTCGGCAACCATTTTTACCAGTGCTTCTCTGGCACTTCTTATTACTGGTTCCCATATTGTATTTATTTCTATGCTTGGTCGGCTCAGGAGATTTTTGTGGCCTAGCATATGTGCTGATTCCCTAAGTTTACGAATTTTCCAATGGTGTTCCCTGTCTATAATCTCAACATGATCGCACAGGTCAATAGGTTTTCACACGTGAGATTGGCATATGACCCTAAATAATTTTGTACAATTATCTAAGTGAAGCAACGTCGAGACTGTTCAGTACCTAGATGAGTGACCGCTTGGGAATACTAGGTGTTGTATGACTGGATGTGCATTTTATTCACCTACGGGCAAATAACCTTGGAAAAGGTATAAAACCACCTCTTCTCCTCCTCCCAGCTATGGGTTAATTGGTAGATCTTGTATCAGTAAATCATTATTATCTCCAAAATTCATTACAGTTCAAAGATGTTTTCTGTCTTCGAATAGCCTGCAAAGGGTTGATAAACCGTAAAAAACAAATCAATCAATCACAGATGAGACTTTAAATACTATTGTTGTTTTCTACTCGTTCGTTGAATTGGATATTTCACAAGGGTTTCATCAAAGAACAGTGCGCAATTTTTATAATAAATACACTGTTATCTGGCGTCACAAAGTCAACGGAGATAACTTTAATAAAAAGATACAGACAATAATAACAAAAACGCATATATATTTACAAGAAGATTGCTGAAATACGATCAGTGAAATCACGATGTCTTCCACAAAAAGTAAACATTGATGTTTAGATTAGTTTTCGGTCAGAAGATGAAAAGTGGTTTGAGCGAAAACATTTCAACATTCGATTATCACCTTCAAAAAAAGTTTCATGGAATATCAGCACACTAATTCAATGTGGCTATTTAGAGAACGTAAATCAGGAAATTAATAAGTTAAACGTTAGTATTTTACGCGAATGTGAATATGGATGGGCAAACAATTGTAATTTAGACATTGAGAAACGCAGAGTCATATATGTAGGCGTAGAGAACAATGGAAAATGAGTAGGGATTATAGAACCAAGCTATGGAGTAATGTATTCTGGGATATTATAAACTACCTGATATAAAACTTGTAGTTAATCTGAAGGAGGCGGTCTAGCCATCGTTGTTCTATATGCACCGACAGCACAAAGCACGGAAGAAGAAATTGAAAAGTTTTACTATATTCTTGACAACCACAAGGCTCTAGGCAGATTGCAGGAAATTATAATCGATATTAGGGACTAGTACAGAAGAAAGTGGTGACATACCGCGAAGATCAAAACGCTTCGTGTAGCATGCCGTTTTAACAAGCGAAGAAGAAAATGAGAAAAAAAGAAAGAAAAATGCTTCACCACTTAATGGGGTCAGCAAGTTCATGTAAATGAGTTTCTGCTAACCAACCGTGATTCCATTTTCACCGAGTGAAATGGATTGCATAGAAAAAATATGATAAACCATTTCGATGGTCCACGAATCAAAATTCTTGAAGTGGTACAAAGAGGAAATTGTGTAGAGCTACGATTGGCCACGTTCTAAAGTGACACGTTCCACTAGAGCTGTTTCCTAACCTACTCCCGAGAGGTTGCTTTCCAGATCAATACATTATTAACCTGTTCAAGTTTATTGTTAACCGTTACCTTCCCCATATGTAAGCATAAACAGTGCTGCATACTCTGTAACCATTTACCTTGGGTAGCTTTTGGGCGATATACAGGTTGAACATCACTGTAATAAAAAAAAATCATATGAATTTTTGGGACCGAACTTGTTCTTACACTGCTTAACAGACAGCGGCAAATTAAAACTTCCAGTTGACGGCAACATATATATTTATAGTTACTGAGTTTTGGTTACTGCTTTTGCATCATTTTTATGGGAGAGCATAGAAGCTGGTGAACTGAAAGTTATCCGTGATTGGACTATAAAATGAGTCGTAATGCGTTAGAGCGACTATGATAAAAGTTGTAGCTGACGGATGGCATACAAATCGATCAGTATCGACTGGGTCA